AGGAGAGTCGGTTACCGTACATCCATTGCCGATTCATCTGCATTATTATAATATAAAATATATAATTAACCATCATGCATTTGTTAAAGTAACTAGCTATAAACAATAGAAATTAAACAATGAACAACACACATGCATATTTTATCAATGACACACATGCATGAAAGGTTCAAGTTGCTAACCGCGATCGAGGAGGAACCTCAAGTGTGGCTCTAACACTTCATATCATGTTTGTTTCACGTTGTTGGGCATTTCATCAAACACCTTGTGTGCATAAGAGGAACCAAAAGCAAACCTACACCCCCTTGTGAAGAGAAGTGGCACCAAATGGCTAAGTGAGTGCGCTGAACTGGTATATATAGGGGTGGAGCTTTAGTCGCGGTTGGCCAGGCCAACCGCGACTAAAGGCCTTTGGGCACCTTTAGTCGCGGTTGGCCTGGCCAACCGCGACTAAAGCCCCTCACGTGCACCAGCTGGCCATCGAGCGCCCTGGCCCAAGCCTTTGGTCGCGGTTCGTCTGCCGAACCGCGACTAAAGACTTCATTAGTCGCGGTTCCTACAGTTTCGCGACTAATGGGGCTGGACGGAAGCCTCTTTTTCTACCAGTGTCCGTTTCAGATATTACAAATACAAGGTTCCACATCCATCTTCACATGCATACCATGCATTCTATTGGGAGCATTTACCATTTCTTCTATGCTACATGTGCTGCATTATTTAACCTCCTGTTTGCATTTAATTTGATCTTCTATGCCATTTCATTGTCTACAGTTGACACAGCCCAAGGAAGAGCTGCATGCTGGTAACCTTCTTGAGGAAGGAGAGGACGATAAGGAAGAAAGGGAATATTTAGCTATGTTGAAAGAGAAGCAACTTCTATACCGTGAGGAAGGTGACACTACATCGGAAGAGGATGAAACTGAGGCTGATAACCTTATGGATAAAAATGAGGCTGATTTTAATCTGGAGTTTCTTGAGGAGAACAGATTTTTCATTAGCTTTGAAAAAGACGGAACACTCGATTGGTTTTTCCACCCTGCTTACTGCGAATGTGCTTCCCTGAGTAACTACGAACGGCTAGTCCTTCAAAATTATGTGAGTGATCTTCATCAATTTATAATTGTCGTCAGTTGTACTAGCACAAATGTCTGGCAATCACATTACAGTCTCCAAAGCTATGTCGGTCTTGTTTACAAAGAAGTAGAAAAACATAGCAGGACCAGATTATATATACACCAATTGCACTGAGATGTGAGTTCTTGGTACGTTTAGTGAGCTGTAGTAATCTTTGCTTTAAACAAAGTGTTCATAACGTTTTGATACACGGGAATTTGTAACTCATAAACTGAAATATGGCGACAACCAGAACAATATTCTTCCGCCTTGTTGCTTAGTGCTCACTATGAAAAGGTTCGCTTGTAGACTCTTTGACTGCCCCTAATGATTTTCTTTAAGCAGCTGAATTGTATTTTTCTGATAAATATTAGCCACCTCTTTAGTTCTTTATCATATGTAGTTTTAATTAAATTGTTAATTTTGCAGCTTCAAGTTTCTAGTTAAAATATAGTTGCTTTGGTTATAGCATGTCGTTCTGAACATTTCTAAGCAATCGGTTTTCTATCTCTATCCTTTTCAATGTAGGGCGGTACTGAGTACACCCGGTGGAGTTACTACCACAGCTACCTTCATAGCTATGATGTTGAACAAGAGTACGTCAAGTACTGTGAGGAATTATCCAAGCAACTGAAGGTATGCATCACAGATCATGTTAAGGAAATCTCTCTTTCTTTATGAAAAGGGGTTTCCCGCTGCCCCATTTTATTGAAAACGAGGCAGTTAAGGAAATTGTCTTTTTTTGTTCAACGCTTTCAAATTTCTTTGGACTAACAACTCTTTTTTTCTCTGGCAACAGTGGATGGAAGATTATATCGATATTGACCCCTCATCTATCAAAGTATGGCCTAACAAAATTCTTGTAATGTCACTGTAAATTATCTCTTTATCTTGTAGCAAGCTCATAACTTTGTTGTTTGTTCAGTGGGATTACGTATCTTCCCGGGGAGCTTATCAAGCAATTAAGATTGCTGCTACAAGCTTTCCCAAGATCACTCCGACTTTGGCTTACAATGGCTACGATGTAAGATCCCTCACATACATTAATTTAATGTAGCTTACAGTGGCTACTATGTTGTACCTGACAGCTGCATTCACTTGATTTACAGGAGTGTAAAGAGAGCATGGGCTATCATCATATATATTTGAAGGAGTGTGATGGTTTGTATTTTGAGATTTGGCAGCGGGTCAAAAAGGGGATGGTTAGTGTCTGCACATCTAAGCAACTACTCCCTCCGTTCGGAATTACTTGTCGCAGAAATGGATGTATCTAGACGTATTTTAGTTTCTAGATACATTCATTTTCGCGACAAGTAATTCCGAATGGAGGGAGTATTTATTAGTGGTTCCTTGTTTTTGCATACACTGTATATGCTTAGCAATGCATGACTTTTTCCTTGAATAATGTTCAAAAGAGTTTCAGAGCCGCTCTGGAGGACCTTTGTGTTCTGAACAGGTTTCCGTTACGGCAAAGTTTAATGCAAATAGCACTGGGCAATGAGTTCACCATGACGTCACTGGAAAAGGACGTATGTCAACTGTTTTGGTTATTAGATAGATAATTTGCACTTGTAACTAAATATTGCTTTCTGTGTATATGCTTATCTCTTTTCATCTTCTTGCCTTCAGTTCCGAACCTGCACGGCAGCCATTCGACCTGGAGTAAGTAGCGTCTTTTGTATGTGACACGCAAGTGTAATCCATTGAAATATTTCCTTTTATCTGATGTATGATCTGCTTGCCTTCAGGTTGAAGAGGATGAAGCCAAGGAGTTGATTGCAGACGCAGTAAAAAAGCGGGTACTGTAATTTGTGAGTGCATCTCTGCATTATGCATGCTTTTGAAAGATGATTCATCTAGTGAAATTTATTCCATTTCAGGTTGATAAGCCAAAGTTCTATGATGATTATATCAGAAAAAAGATAGAGATCGCACACATTGTTGGAATCCTTCCATCCGAGAAGACCGAGACTGACGCAACAGTATAATTAAGATTCTGAAGAATGGGATTATGAAACTGAACCATCCCTCGTCTTGCACTGTGCTGCCCACATCTAGTTGTTTGTCCAGCAATGTTACTGATCTAATAATACAATGTAATACATCACTTATGCAGGCTGGAAGCAAATTTTAGTAGTTAACATATATATGTATTATTATTGCGGGTAGAGATCTTGGTCTTTGATACCCTTTTGATGCCAAGTAGTCTTACATGATATACACGTATGGTGTAGTAAACAGAAGCACATAAATCTTGGCGCACTATTTATTTTCTTACCCACAACAGGACGATATTATGCTGACCAAGTGGTGGCAAAAGACACAGAAAACTAAACACTCTGAAAATTCACATGGAGTACATGGAGTGATCAAGCGACTCACAGCTTCACTGCAGGAACTCAAACCAAAAGCTGTCAAACAAAGGACGAACGCATGAGCCAGAAAACTCTCGAGAGGCCTCCCAATCAACAAATATGTAATGATGCTGTTTAACCCTCAACATGGACCAATCTGTCTGAAATCACATAAATGGATAGTACAAAAGAATGCAAGAGTGCACTCAATCCACAAAATTCTGCGCCGGAAAATCTACGAAAATATCAAAAACAACAATTCTACCTCTAGGAGAGAATCATTGTCAAACTTGCTCCCTAACATAAGCCCACAATCAAGGCTGCACAACTAAAGCTTTGCCTCAATACCCTCAGGTTGTACCTCTTGCAAAGGTTGCTCAAATGGCGACGTATGGTACAACACATGTTTGACACTTGTCACAATGAGAGTTTTGCTGGTTTTTTCCACCTGGGGATTGTGGTTGACTACATGTGTTTCTCTTTTGCAAGATATAAGTTTCAAATCAAAATATCTCTTCAATCGAGCATTGAAATTATGTACCATTTTCACAGCTGCGCTCCTCACACATATATCTTTGAAATTAGATACCATGTCAATTGGTTCTTACGAGCTTTTTTGGACACAACTTGTACTTATAAGAATAATGAAATTGTACTTCATGCAGTAATATACTTGTACTTTTCATGGGGTAGTGTACTACTGCATAGTGCAACTTGTACTTCCCGCGTAGCGCAATCCGTACTTCCAGCACAACACATCATGTACTACAAAGGCAACCTGTCCGCCCTTTCAATATAACATGTACTTTTAGGTGGATGTGCCAACATCTACAGCATGCAGCCAGCCAACCAGAGTCGGACTCCAACTCGCACAAGCGTTGTGCACAACTTAGGCCGATTGACGTCACAACCAGCATAGACAGGGGAGTCGTGCATATTCAATCAACGTCACAAGCAAGCAGACCTAGGCGGTAATTATTTTTGCAACATTGTTCGTTCTCATTTCTCGCAAGCAAGTAACCGACGCAGACACGGGCCCTGCATATTCAGTCAGACTGATCTTTTGAAAAGATCATCTGGGTAGCGAGCTGTTGGATCCACCTAGGTCTGAAGCGATCTGAAGGCGTGCCGACAACGCATCTCGGGGAGGAGGCGGCGGTGGGCGCGGGCTCGAGTGGCGACATGCCGCAGAAGAAGGCTACGCCCTCGAGCGGAGGGTCTGCCGGCTCGGGTGCTCTTCACGGGAACTCTACTGCCCAGGACTCTGAAGAATCTGCCGCCCAGCGCCGTAGCAAGAATGCGCGCACAGCCTCGAGTCTGGACTCTGCAGATACCACAAAAGCAGCACAAGGCCGTGGGCTTGAGTGGAGGGATGCTGCAGAAGCAGAGCGCGGAGGTCGAGAGGTGCTGCACGAGCAGGAGCATGCCAAGCACTTTCAGGAATCTGATCCCAACGAGATTGTACATGGCAAGGAAGAAAATAAACAGGTGCAAGAAGCGGATCGTCTGATCGAACAGCTGAATGAGTTGGGGATGGGAGAGGATATCAGCGAGGAGGAGTTCCTTGATTACCATGACAAGCTACCTCGCATCCCTCATTATATTGTTGCTCGTAAACTGACAAATGAGGAGCTCGATGAGCAAGATCTTCGCCACGCACTGTACCGCCTCAGATCTTACAAACACAAGGTTCAGTCCACAGTTCTACTCCCATGAATCATCACATGTGCTGGATTATTTAACCTAATGTTTTCATTTAGTTCGATCTTATGGGTCATCGCATTGTCTACAGCTGAAAGAGGAGGGAAAGGAAGATACATTTGGCCTTAAGGACATTTCTGAGGCCGACTGTGATCAAGAGTTCTTAAAGAAACAGAGATTTTTCAGACGATTCGAGGAAATTTCCACACTTGATTGGTATTTCCACCCTGATTACTGCAAAGGGGGTTCCCTGAATGACTACCAACGCCTAGTCCTTCGAAATTATGTGAGTTATCTTCTGATGCATGAGTAGTCGTCCCTCAATTTGTAATTGTGGCTGATTGTATTAGCACAAGTGTCTGGATCTTACAATCACACTAAAGCCTCCAAAACTATGATTTGATGATTGATGATCAATTTAAAGTCATGAGATGTGCTAAATAATCACCAAGTGGTCTTGCTTTGAAAAAATAATGGAAAAGTATATCAGGGTCCAGACTATCGACCAGTTACATGTGCGTGTTCATGCTACATTTATTGAGCCCCTGTAATATTTGCCTTAGACCAAGCTTTCGTTATATTATATTCTGAAATGTTTAACTCGTTAATGTATCAACTGATAAACTGGCAAGACTTACTAATTCAAATATAGTGTCAACTGACAAAATGTTCTTCACCTTGTTGCTCAGTTCTTTATCATATCTCCTTTGGAATAAAATTATGGTTTGGTGCTTGAAGTCTTCAGTTAAAATATGGTTATTTAGGTTATGTACTGTTCGTCGTTCTAATATTTTCTAATCAATGGGTTCTCTCTCTATCTTTATCAATGTAGGGCGGTTCTGAGTACGCCAGGTGGAGTGAGTACCATGAGTTCCTTCATAGCCATGACGTTGAAGAAGAGTATGTCAAGTTCTGTGAGGAATTGTTCAAGAAGCTAGAGGTATGTATCGCAGATCATGTTAAGGAGTTTTTATTTTATTTATTCAGTGCTTTGCATATATATTTTGGATTAATCACTTCTTTTCTCTGCCAACAGTGGATGGAAGGTTATCTAGATTTTCCCCGGCCATCTCATAAGGTAAGTATGGCCGTGCTAGAATCTTGAAAGGACCCTCTCATCTATATACTCGGAAAAAAATTATATGAGACCAGGTCTCATATAAACCAGGTGAGACCCGCCCTGATGGATGACAAGTGGCATTCACAAATCACAAAGCATCTAATCTCTCCCCCCTGATTTCAGGTGGGGATGGGGTAAATGCTTTGTGATTTGTAAATGCCACGTGTCATCCATCAGGATGGGTCTCACTTGCTAACCCGTCAGACCTGCTCTCATAGAATTTTTTTCCTACATACTCCCTCCGTCCGGAAAACCTTGTCCCTTGATGCTAGATACATCCGTTTGAGGAATAAGTTTGGGACAAGCTTTCTCGGACGGAGGGAGAATCTTGTAGTGCCCTCATAACTTCGTTGTTGTGCAGTGGGATCGCATATCTTCCCGAGGAGCTTTACAAGCAATTAAACTTGCAGCTACTACCTTTCAGAAGATCACTGCGTCTTTAGCTTACTATGGCTACTTTGTAGGTTCCCTCATATGCGTTATTTTTACGTAGCTTTCAACGGATACCATGTACTCCCTCCATTCACTAATACAAGGAATAAGATGTTTTAGATATTTTAATATGGACTACATATGGACTGAAATATGAGTGAACAAGCACACTAATACGTGTCTATATACATCCAATTCAGAAAAAAAGTTATAACATCTTATATTTGCGAATGGAGGTTGTGGTATCTAACAGTTTTTGTTTTTTGGCTCAGGAGTGTAAACAGAGCATTGCCTATGACCGTACTTGGTACAAGGAGTTAGATGGTGTCCATTTTGAGATTTGGTGTCGGGTCACTGAGAAACAGGTTAGTGCTGATCTGCACTATACACCAGTCTGCATAACTAGGCAACTATTCGATGATGGTTCCTTGTTTTTACAAACACTGTGTATGCTTAGAAACGCATGACTTTTGCCTTGAATAATGTTCAGATGAGTTTCAGAGATGCTCTAGCGGAGGTTTGTGCGCTGAACAGGTTTCCATTACGCCAACGTAGAATGGAAGGTGCACTGAAGCGGGACTACACCATGGAGAGATTGGAATCGGAGGTAGGTTGTTTTGGTCTGTGGATAATTTGCAGTTGTAACTTGATATTCCGTTGTTTTGGTATGCTTATCTCTTTTCATCTTTTCTTACTCCAGTACCATACCTGCACGGCAAAGGTTCCCCCGGGAGTAAGTAGTTATGTTTTTTCTTTCTTTTTTGTGTGTGTGAGTGTGGCTTGCTAGTGTAATAATTCATTGGAATATGTTGTTTTATTATGTGATGTCTTGTCTGCTTGCCTTCATCAGACTGAAAAGGACAAGGCTAAGGAGTTGATTGCAAAGGCAGTTAAAAATCGGGTACTGTAATTCTTCAGATCACCTCTGCATTATGCATGCTTTTGAAAGATGATTTATCTTGTGAAATTTGTTTTTCTTTTCAGCTCAATAAGCCAAAGACCTATGTGCAGTATATCAGCAAGAAGATACACATTGCACACGTTGCTGGAATCCTTCCTCTGAAGGATTCGAAGGAACAATGTAGTTAAGATTCCGAAGAATGGGATTTTGAAATTGGTCCATTCCTTGTCCTTCTGCCAAAGACCTATCTTTATTTTCCTCTGATCTGAAGGCGTTGTTTCTGAGATTATGAAATTGGACAATTGGTCCATCCCTTGTCCTTCTGCAGTGTGCTGCCCACATGTGACTGTGTATGCAGAAATGGTAGTGATCTGTAATATATATTGTTATAGATCATTTATGCTTGTTGGGAGCAAATATAGCAGTTAATATATTATTATTAGGCAAATATTTTCTCACCATTCTATAGTCTCAATTAGTATTATTTTTTTATATTTCCTGGGGAGAAAGAGAGGTAGTGACTTTTTTATGCGGAGAATATAACATAATTGGATGCACATACATTGTAGCTAGTAGATTTATTAATGGCTTCACACGAAGCCTCCAAGTGGACATGCATAAAAAATAAACAATGTGCGTGTAGGCCAGTTCGAGGTCATTGTAATTGTGTATACAGACATATGTGATGGAGGACGCATAACCACCCTTTCCCCTTTTCTCCCGCGCGGGACGCTAACCCTCGTGGAGTGACCAATCTTTTTCCATTCTTCGTTGCCTTTCCTTTATGGGTATGCCTATTTCACGGGACCTTATAGTCTGTCTACTCGAACATCATGTAATCAATTTGGATCAGGCAAAAAAAACATAGATAATGAACCCCTCACACGGGTGGCTCGACGCGAGGTGGCTCACTCGAGCCTGAGGGCCGCGCTCGGCGGCGAGCGTGGCAGCACAACACGCGCCGGTGCGGGATGGCGTCAGCGGCGTGTCCGGGGTATGATGGACGACGTGGCAGAGGTGCTTGCGAGGGTTAGAGTAGGTGGCTTCGGTGCTCGCGGCCCGACCATATCTGATCTCGCGGGGCCGGCCGTGCACGACGCGTGTCATGGGCGGTCGCCCCTGCCATGGCGTCCGACTTATGGGGGGGGCGTGACGAAGGTGGTCGCCCCCTTCTCTTCTGCTCTTTGGTTGGTGGATGTGGTAGATGGTGGCGGCCTTGTTGGCAGGATGCCGACGGCTCGGTGGGGGTGCCATTGGTTGGCCGCTGGTGGTTAGGGCAAACCGAGAAGGGAGGCAGGGGGCCTCCTGGTCGTGCCGACGCCGAGAGCTGGAGCTACCAGACGGGTCGTGTCGGTGGTCCTTGTCCCTGGCGGAGCTGTGCAGTGGCTACTAGTGACCCTCCCGTGCCTGGATTAGCTGGGCTACCTTCCCGCCAAAGGGTTCGTTTTGGGGTGGAAGGAGGGCCTTTTACCTCTCACCAGTCGGTGATGTCCATTTGTTGTCGTGGTGGTTGGTGGGGGGGGGGTCTTGGTTGCCAGGGCGGCGACAATGTTGGTGGGAGTCACGTTGCTCGCGGGGGAGGGGGTGCGCGGTGATGTTTGCTTGAACTACGCCGGTATTTTCCCAAAGAGGAAGGGATGATGCAGCACAATAACGGTAGGTATTTCCCTTAGTGATGAGACCAAGGTTATTGAACCAGTAGGAGAACCACGCAACACAACGTAAACAACCCCTGCACACAAATGACAAATACTCGCAACCCGACGTGTTAAAGGGGTTGTTAATCCCTTTCGGGTAACGGTGCCAACAATTGGCATTGAGATGGGATAAAGTTGTAATAGATAGGATAAATAGATCGCAAATAAAATAAAGTGCAGCAAGGTATTTTTGTATTTTTGGTTTAATAGATCTAAAAATAAAAGCAAATAAAAAAAGATTGCGAAGGCAAATATATTAAAGAAGAGACCCGGGGGCCGTAGGTTTCACTAGTGGCTTCTCTCGAGAAAAATAGCAAACAGTGGGGAAATAATTATTGTTCGGCAATTGATAGAACTTCAAATAATCATGACGATATCCAGACAATGATCATTATATAGGCATCACGTCCAAGATTAGTAGACTGACTCCTGCTTGCATCTACTACTATTACTCCACACATCGACCGCTATCCAGCATGCATCTAGTGTATTAAGTTTGTGGAAAAATGAAGTAATGCAATAAGAACAATGACATGATATAGACAAGATCTATTTATGTAGAAATAGACACCATCTTGTTATCCTTAATAGCAACGATACATACGTATCGTTTCCCCTTCTGTCACTGGGATCAAGCACCGTAAGATCGAACCCATCACAAAGCACATCTTCCCATTGCAAGATAAATAGATCAAATTGGCCAAACAAAACCCAAATATCGAAGAAGAAATACGAGGCTATAATAAAATACATGAAAAAGAAAGGAGGTAGAATTGTTTTGGATTTATGGTTAAAGAAGAAAAAGATGAAAACAAGGGTTCTGTTGAATTTCAAGTATTCAATTTCACCAATAAGATACAGAGACTTGCTTCACATTTGGAATTACACAAAAAGATTTTTCATCGGAAAGAGGTCTACCAAGACTTTTGGGAAAACGTCAATCATGCATATAAGAGATAAAAAAACTCAAATAACTTTCATGGATAAAAACATAGATCTGATCATAAAATCAAAGTTCATCGGATCCCAATAAACACTCTGTAAAAAGACTTACATCATATGGATCTCCAAGAGACCATTGTATTGAGAATCAAGAGAGAGAGGAAGCCATCTAGCTACTAATTACGAACACGTAGGTCCACAAAGAACTACTCACGCATCATCGGAGAGGCACCAATGGACATGATGAACCCCTCCATGATGATGTCTAGATTGGATCTGGTGTTTCTGGAACTTGCGGCGACTGGAATTGATTTTCATCGACTCCCATAGGGTTTCTGGAATCACTGGTACGCGTCGGTGCTATACAAACAGTTTTAAACCCCTTTCCGCGACGGCATTCGGAACCGTCGCCTAGTGAGTGTGAGCGATTAGGGGGTCCTTCGCACACGACCCAGAAACCATCGGGGATATGCCCTCCTGGCACACATGCTCGGCAAAATGAGGTCATGTGCGACCGGCGAGCGAGAAAATACGGTTATACGTACAATAGTGCTTAAAAAAATACAATTATATAGGTGAAATCATTTTCGGTCGTAAGTTTATCCCACACAGTCAGTTCCCGTGAAACGTTTTTGTTCGTACATACATCCAGCACAGTCGCTGCAAGGAAAACATTTCCGTTCGTAGGTACATCACACACAATTTTCCACGTTAAGTCATTTGTGATGGCCTTCCCATCGCACACAATATTAAAAAAATTATCGTTTGTGTTATTGAATGCATCACACACGGTGCGTAGAAGAAACCGTGTGCGTTGCCTTAAGTCATCGCCCACGATATTTTCTCAATAACCGTTTGCAATAGCAAAAGTCAATTAGCAGGCTAATTGCCCTATTATTAATAATCCATTTATTAATCTAATTGACATTCATATTAAACACATAATATATTTCATTCTCATATTAAGGAAGCAGGATTTCATAATTGAAATACATCAGAGTACAACATGATATAGCTTCAGCACTCAGCTACCCCATTACACAACTGCACCAGCACCAAGCTTCACGTGCAATATCTAGAACCTTTCGAAATTAGCATCATAGACGGTACATAGATAGATGCATCTCATCGGAAAAACTGCTGAAGCGGAAGGCGAATATTGAGCATTCATTGATGTTGAAGGTCTTTGCAACTTTAGGCCAGTGCTTGTAGATGATTGACCGTCCATCCTTCGTCCTCTTCAGGAACACTTCAATATTGAACCGTGGGTGTTGTATGAAAACCTTCCTCGCCTCCTGTCCACACAGGTGGTTTGAGAGGTAATCATCAGTGAACTATTTTAGAAAGGCCTGAAAACAAGGATGTGCATAAATATCTTCTCTATATTGGAAATGGGGCAAAGGAATAAAAAAGACAAGGTATAATAGTATACAATAACAGAATGCAGCCACAACAATTGAACATCGCATTGCAGAATTGAACCAAGCAGTTAACTAAACACCACAACAAATGAACCAACCGTTAACTGAGCACCACATTGCACAAATATAATATACTCCTAATAGAAGATCAGGCAGTTAACCAAACCAAGCATGCTTAACAACTTGGAAATATAGCAATTGTATTTGTTTCTCATGTATTTAGTACAGCTAAATTCGATTTATTTTTCACATGCTATACAATAACAGAATGCAGCCACAACAGTTGAACATCGTATTGCAGAATTGAACCAAGTAGTTAACTAAACACCACAACAAATGAACCATCCGTTAACTGAGCACCACATTGCACAAATATAGCATACTCCTAATAGAAGATCGGACAGTTAACCAAACCAAGCATGCTTAAAAACTTGGAAATATAGCAATTGTATTTGTTTCTCATGTATTTAGTACAGTCAAATTCGATTTATTTCTCTCGTGGTATACAATAACAGAGTGCACACACAACAATTGAAACATCGCATTGCAGAATTGAACCAAACAGTTAACTAAACACCACAACAAATGAACCAAACATTAACTGAGCACGGCATTGCACAATATAACATACTCCTAATAGAAGATCAAACAGTTAACCAAACCAAGCATGCTTGACAACTTGGAAAATTGAACCCTAAAAAATTGAACATCACATTTGCAGAATTGAACCAAACAGTTAACTGAACACCACATTGCACGACATATAGAACATATACACTAGAGCAGAAGATTGCATGGTAAAAGTAGATAGCAAAATTCACTAAAATTTGTTAAGGAAAGGCAGTAGCTAGCAAACTGAACATGGGTCCTTATAGTGAGCTAATAAGACAAGCTACTCATTGTTGGAGATATCAATGGCGATTGGCTCCTTGGACATGGAAGAGGGCGAGGCCTCCGCATCGTGGGTGCCCTCGTCGTAGTGGTGAGTTGCCTAAGCCATTCCGGGTACCAACCTCCTGTCTCTCGAGATGAGGTAAGCACGTGCACGCTGAGAAAACACCTCATAGTCTTTGTCGAAGGCACCGACGATGGCTTCGAGAAAACGCCATGAACTATCGCTTAAAGCAGCCAACCGCGCCGCGGCGTCGGCTGATGTCTACTATGCAACCTTCTCCTTGTAGACGTTGTTGGGCCTCAAAGTGCAGAGGTTTGTAGGACAGTAGCAAATTTCCCTCAAGTGGATGACCTAAGGTTTATCAATCCGTGGGAGGTGTAGGATGAAGATGGTCTATCTCAAACAACCCTGCAACCAAATAACAAAGAGTCTCTTGTGTCCCCAACACACCCAATACAATGGTAAATTGTATAGGTGCACCAGTTCGGGGAAGAGATGGTGATACAAGTGCAATATGGATGGTAGATATGAGTATTTGTAATCTGAAAATATAAAAACAACAAGGTAACTAATGATAAAAGTGAGCACAAACGGTATTGCAATGCTAGGAAACAAGGCGTAGGGTTAATACTTTCACTAGTGCAAGTTCTCTCAATAATAATAACATACTTGGATCATATAACTATCCCTCAACATGCAACAAAGAGTCACTCCAAAGGCACTAATAGCGGAGAACAAACGAAGAGATTATTGTAGGGTACGAAACCACCTCAAAGTTATCCTTTCTGGTTGATCTATTCAAGACTCCATAGTAAAATAACACGAAGCTATTCTTTCCATTCAATCTATCCTAGAATTCATACTAGAATAACACCTTAAGATACAAATCAACCAAAACCCTAATGTCACATAGATACCCCAATGTCACCTCAAGTATCCGTGGGCATGATTATACGATATGCATCACACAATCTTAGATTATCTATTCAACCAACACAAAGAACTTCAAAGAGTGCCCCAAAGTTTCTACCGAAGAGTCAAGACGAAAACATGTGCCAACCTCTATGCATAAGTTCACAAGGTCACTGAACCCGCAAGTTGATCAGCAAAACATACATCAAGTAGATACGTGATATCCCATTGTCGCCACGGATAAGCACATGCAAGACATACATCAAGTGTTCTCAAATCCTTAAAGACTCAACCCGATAAGATAACTTCAAAGGGAAAACTCAAACCATTACAAGAGAGTAGAGGGGGAGAAACATCATAAGATCCAACTATAATAGCAAAGCTCGTGATACATCAAGATCGTGCCGAATAAAGAACACGAGAGAGAGAGAGAGAGAGAGAGAGAGAGAGATCAAACACATAGCTACTGGTACATACCCTTAGCCCCGAGGGTGAACTACTCCCTCCTCGTCATGGAGAGTGTCAGGATGATGAAGATGGCCACCGGTGAGGGATCCCCCTCCGACAGGGTGCCGGAACAGGGCCCCAATTGGTTTTTGGTGGCCATAGAGGTTTGCGGCAGCGGAACTCTCGATCTATGGTGCTCTTGGATGTTCTCGGGGTATATGGGTATATATAGGAGGAAGAAGTAGGTCGGTGGAGCAGCGAGGGGCCCACGAGGGTGGGGGCGCGCCCAGCGGGGCAGGCGCGCCTCCCTGTCTCATGGCCTCCTCGCTTCTTTCTTGACGTCCACTCCAAGTCCTCTGGATCACATTTGTTCCAAAAATCACTCTCCCAAAGGTTTCATTCTGTTTGGACTCCGTTTGATATTCCTTTTCTGTGGAACACTGAAATAGGCAAAAAAAACAGCAATTTGGACTGGGCCTCCAGTTAATAGGTTAGTCCCAAAAATAATATAGAAGTGCATAGTAAATCCCATTAAACGTCCAAAACAGATAATTTAATAGCATGGAACAATCAAAAATAATAGATGCGTTGGGGACGTATCAAGCATCCCCAAGCTTAATTGCTGCTCGTCCTCGAGTAGGTAAATGATAATAACATAATTTTTGATGTGGAATGCTACCTAGCATATTTCTCAATGTAATTCTCTTTATTGTGGCATGAATGTTCAGATCTAAATTAAAGATTCAAGATAAAAGTTTAATATTGACATAAAAATAGTAATACTTCAAGCATGCTAACCAAGCAGTTTATGTCTTATCAAAATAACATAGCGAAAGAAAGCTTATCCCTACAAAATCATATAGTTTGGCCATGCTTCATTTTCGTCCCACAAAATGCTCCCATCATGCACAACCTCTGTTTCAGCCTAGCAATTGGTTCATACTTTTTAACGTGCTTCAACCTTTTCAACCCTCATGCAATACATGAGCATAAGCCATGGACATAACACTATGGGTGGAGTAGAGTATGATGATAGGGATTATGTGAGAAAACAAAAAAGGAGAAAGTCTCACATTGACGCGGCTAATCAACGGGCTATGGAGATGCCAATCAATTGATGTCAATACGACGAGTAGGGATTGCCATGCAACGGATGCACTAGAGCTATAAATGTATGAAAGCTCATCAAAAGAAACTAAGTGAGTGTGCATCCAACTTGCTTGCTCACGAAGACCTAGGGCAATTTGAGGAAGCCCATCATTGGAATATACAAGCCAAGTTCTATAATGAAAAATTCCCACTAGTATATGAAAGTGACAACATAGGAGACTCTCTATCATGAAGATCATGGTGCTACTTTGAATCACAAGTGTGGAAAAAGGATAGTAACATTGTCCCTTCTCTCTTTTTCTCTCGTTTTTTCTCTTTTTTTATTTGGGCTTCTTTGGCCTCTTTTTTTATTTGGGCTTCTTTGGCCTCTTTTATTTTTCATAAAGTCCGGAGTCTCATCCCGACTTGTGGGGGAATCATAGTCTCCATCATCATTTACTCACATGGGACAATGCTCTAATAATGGAAATCATCACACTTCTATTTATTTACAACTCAAGAATTACAACTCAATGTGAATGCCCCCGGTGGTGTATCGGGATATGCAATGAATCAAGAGCGACATGTATGAAAGAATTATAAAGGTGGCTTTGCCACAAATACGATGTCAACTACATGATCATGCAAACACTACAAAAAAATACACTTCTGTGATGATACGTGTTTGTCACAGTAGGTCGCGTTTTTTTTCATGCATGTACATCCATGAAGATTTTATGACAGAATCAAGATAGTCATACCTGTGCTATCGTAGAAGTGTTCCATGACATTACCAAAATTATCATCACGGAAGTGTCCACTTCCATGATGATAAATCGTGCGTCACAGAAGTGCTTTCGTCAAGGGTGACCGACACGTGGCATCCACCGTAACGGAACACCGTTAAGCTATCGGGTCGGGTTTTGGATCCGATAACCCGTTAACAGCCCCGACCAATGTGGATTTTCCATGTGTAAAATCATCATTGGCTGGAGGAGACACGTGTCAGCTCCGCGTTGGCACAGGTGTCACTCATCCAATGGGCGAGACGCGCCTATGATATGTTGACACGTGGACCGGCCCATCAAGTTTAAATGGACCGGCCCAACTAAAGGCCCACAAGATTTTGTGGACCATAATGGGTCGGCCCAGCTAAAGGCCCACGATATTTTGCGGACCATAATGGGCTGGCCCAGCTAAAGGCCCACAAGATTTTGCGGGCCATTATGGGTCAACCTAGGTAAAGGCCCACAAGATTTTTGTGTGCCATAATGGGCCGGCCCAGGTAAAGGCCCACAAGATTCTTGCAGATCATAATGGACCGGCCCAGCTAAAGGCCCATGAGATTTTGCTGACATTAATGGGCCGGCCCAGCTGTAGGCCCACAAGATTTTGAGGACCCTAGTAGGTCGGCCCATTAACTGGCTGCCATGTTTTGGGCCAAATGTCGGCCCATATTTGATCCAGTCCATTAATGGCCTGCCACATTCCGGGCCTAATAATGGCCCATATGAGATCCGGCCCGTTAAAAGCCTACCACGTTCTGGGCCAAATTACGGCCCAGATCAGGTCCAACCCTTTAAGAGGCTTGGGCTAAATTAAGGCCCATATCAGATCCGGCCCGTCCACTGGACGCTATGCTTTTGGGCCCACTTGCTAAAGGCCCATTTAGTAATTCGGCCTGATATTAGTTTCGGCCTGTTAAGGGCCCGTTTAACATTTCGTCCTATTAAAAGCCCGTCATATAGTTGGGCACTCCACAGTTCCATCTTCACATGCCATGCATTACATTGGCAGAATTTACTTGTCCAATGCCTGCATTTGCTGGATTATTTGACCTCCTGTTTGCATTTAATTTGATTTTCTATGTCATCTCATTTGTCTACAGTTGTCACAGCCCAAGGAAGAGCCGCATGGTGATAACCTTCTGGAGGAGGAAGAGGACGATAAGGAAGAAAGGGAATATTTAGCTACATTGACAGAGAAGCAACTTCTATTCCTTGAGGAAGATGACGCTACATCGGAAGAGGATGATAACCTTATGGATAAAACTGAGGATGATTGTAGTATGGAGTTTCCCGAGGAGAAGGGATTTTTCATTAGCTTTGAAGAAGATGGAACACTCGATTGGTTTTTCTACTCTGCTTACTGCGAATGTGCTTCCCTGAGTGACTATCAACGCCTAGTCCTAAAAAATTATGTGAGTGATCCTCAATTTATATTTGTGGTCAATTGTACTGGCACAACTGTCTGGCAATCAACACATTATGCAGCCTCCAAAACTACCATTCTTGTTTAGAAAGAAGTAGAAAAATGTAGCAGGACCAAATATAGTGCCAACAGATAAAATCTTTCACCTTGCTCCTTAGTCCTCATCACCTTCATCTTTTATGAAACGGCTCACTGGTTGACTCTTTGATTCTGTCTAATGATTTTGTTTTGTTTTGTAAGAAACCGAATTGTATTTTCTGATAAATACTAGCCACTTATTTATTCTTTTTATCATATATGGTTAAAAATTGTTTTTTTCTTTGCAGCTTCAAGCCTTTAGTTCAATCAAATCTTTGCTTAGGTTATGTATTGCCTGTTGTTCTAAAAATTGCTAAGCAATTGATTTTCTCTCTGTCCTTTTCAATGTAGGGTGGTACCGAGTACAGCATGTGGAGTGACTACCATAGCTACCGTCATAGCTATGATATTGAACGAGAGTATCTCAAGTACTGCCAGGAATTATCCAAGCAACTGAAGGTATATGCATCAGAGATCATGTTAAGGAAATCGTCTAATTTTGTTCAATGCTTTCAAATTTCTTTGGACTTACAACTTTATTTTTCTCTAGCAACAGTGGATGGAAGATTATGTCGATATTTGCCGCTCATCCGTCAAAGTAAGTATGGCCTTAAAATTCTTGGAATGACACTGTTAATTATCTGTATATCTTGTAACACCCTCATAACTTTGTTGTTGTTCAGTGGGGTAAAATATCTTCCCGAGGAGCATTTCAAGCAATTAAGATTGCTGCTACTAGCTTTCCCAAGATCACTCCTACTTTAGCTTACAATGGCTTTGATGTAGGATCTCTCATACACATGAATTTAATGTAGCTTACAATGGCCTATATTGTATCTGACAGTTGCATTCACTTGATTTAGGAGTATAAAGAGCGCATTTGCTATTATCATACTTGGTTTAAGGAGTATGATCATTTGTACTTTGAGATTTGGCGGCGTGTCACAAAGGGAACGGTTAGTGTGTTATGCGCAACTAAGCAACTACTCAATGATGGTTCATTGTTTTCGAATATACTGTATATGCTTATTAATGCATGGCTTTTCCCTTGAATAATGTTCAACAGAGTTTCAGAAAGGCTATGGAGGATGTTTGCAAGATGAACAAGTTTCCAGTACGACAAGGTTTAATGCAAACTGCCCTGGACCATGAGTACACCATGACGTTGATGGAAGAGGACGTACGTTAGCTGTTTTGATTAATAGATAATTTGCACTTGTAACTTAATATTCTTATTTGTGCATATATGCTTATCTCTATTCATCTTCCTGACTTCAGTTCCATACCTGCACGGCAGCCATTTGCCCTGGAGTAAGTAGCGTCTTTTGTATGTGACATGCAGGTGCAATTCATTGAAATATTTCCTTCTGATGTATGGTCTGCTTGCCTTCAGGTTAAAGAGGATAAAGCTAAGGAGTTGATCGCAGACGGAGTTAAAAAGCTGGTACTGTAATTTGTGAATTTACCTCTGCATTATTCATGATTTTGAAAGATGATTTCCCTAGTGAAATTCTTCTCTTTTTTAGGTTAATATGCCCAAGTCCTATGAGGATTATATCAGAAAAAAGATAGAGATTGCATGCATTATTGGAATTCTTCCTTCCGAGAAGACTGAGGCAACAGTATAATTAAGATTCTGAAGAATGAGATAATTGGCAAACAAGCGTTGTTTATAAGATTATGAAACTGAACCACCCATTGTCATGTTGTACTGTGCTTCCCACATGTAGTTGTGTGTGTAGAAATGGCAGTGACCTGTAAGATACTGTAATAGATCATTTATGCAGTCTGAGCAATTTTAGCAGTACTACTTGACATATACACCCTCCGTTCCAAAATGTGCATAGACATGCTGCATAATGTTCCTAATTATTTTTGCAACATTGTTTGTTTGCAATTTTGCAATGATCTGTGTCAACTTGTAGTTAGTAAACTAAATCTTATTCAAAGAAACACAGTTTTTGGCAAAGCATGGGGTGTTGGCTAGGGTTGTAACTCTTAATTAGCATATAGTTTTTGCGGTTACACAATTTTTTAGCGTATAGTACATTGTTTGCAATTTTTAAGATATGTTAAAATGGTGGATAGAAGTGACTTCTGCTCCAACTACACCCATCTAACAACTCTTTCGGACGGTTGCTTGGATCTAACATGCGAGCCCCTCATGTTAGTTTTGTTGTATGCTAAGAATCAATGCTACCGAAAATGTCACTGCAAATGGAAGATACTCGGCCTGCTCTGCTTATGAGATCTAGTTCGCTGCATGGATTGAGCAGCCCGGGACTGGCTATTGCTGCAGAATAGAAATTGGACTGCGGACAGGCTGCAGGCTAGAGGATGGCCACACAATGCCTGCTGTCGGCTGTGTGATCAGGAGCACGAAACTGCGGACCATATCACGCTCCGATGCTGCTATCCGAGATAGGTCTGGTACCTATTCCAGGGTACAAGTGACAGGATTTACAACGTGGTGCACTCTGCAAACTGAGTTTCAGATTGGTGGAACAGGCTCTATATGCATCACGGTGCGCAATCCAAGGCTGCGAAGGAAACATCCCTCTCGGCATACATTGCTTGGCATCTTTGAAAGGAATGGGACAGAAGGGTCTTTGAGAATGCTGAGATGGCGTCAAGAGCCTTGGGGCGTGTTTGGTTGCAGTAGTGAACAGTAGCTGCATTCATAGCCTTCTCAACTCAGCCTGACTATCCAAATGCAGCCTCAAATGCACCATCTGCAAGTTGTTTGTTTGTCTGCATGCCCTCTTGCCTGCATAGGCTGAACCACACTGTCTGGTGTTTGGTTGCCTGCATGTTAGTGGACAAACCCAAGGCATGGTGTTTGGTTGTATGCAACGCCTGGTGTGTGGTAACCTCTTTGGCTAGTTGGTAAGGTTACCAGCACACTTCAGCACAACCATGTAGCACACATCATAAGCAGAACAGAGTATAAACAGAGGATCAACTACTTAACAACATATTTCAGATAAGCAGTACCACACTTTATAACAGTTCAACGCATAAACCATAAACAGTTCAGAGCAGACTCGATAGTACTTAGGAAGGAGGTGCCCCAGCCCTAGTCCTTGGGGGCGAAGGCTTCGTCATGCTTCCCGCAGTTGTTGACGACCTCAATGCCATCATCGTCGAAGATGATGACCTTGAGGGTGTCAGGAGTGAGGAGCTTGAACGTCACCATGTAGCCGATCTTGATCTGATGAACGGCTGGGTAGGTGGCCCAACCTTGATCCAGGGTCACCCTGCCGTTCATCAGCTTCACCATCACCTTCCAGGAGCAGCCGATGTTGTTCCTGAGCTTGAACTCCGTCGGCACCGTGACGAAGTGCTTGGTGAAGTCCAGGGGCATGGGGATGCACTCAAGCTTCTGTGCAAGGATGACCTTGTAGAAGTGAGTTGGGCCATCCTCCTGATGGTAGTGGTCGTAGTTGCGACGCTTGTTGCTGGGGGGCTCCTCCATCCGCTCGTCGTTGCCAACCTCAGGCATCTTTGGTTCTTCATCGGCGGAGGGCGTCAGCACAACCTCCTCGGGCATTGGATGAAGGGGCTGCTTGCCCTTGTCTTCAACGGCCGAGAGCACCTCCGTGCCCATCTCATTGCTCTCCTCGATCTGCACACAATTCATGGAGTCAGGCACAACACAGAGTTCATGGCTGATTGAAGAGCATGTAGTTAAAACGACATGACTGTCACTCTTCTCCTCCTCTCCATCGCCCCTATATTTACTCACCCTGCCCACCACTACTTACCCACCCCCTCTCTTCTCTCACTGACAACCTTCCTCCTCTCCATCGCCATGAGCTCTAGCTCCAGCTCCAACGCCAACCCCTTCCCTTGGGGTATTGGCTGGAGGGCCTTCTTCCTCGGGTGATCGGCTGGTGACCGCACCAAGTTCGAGGACACCATGGAGGTGTGCCCGAACTTCGGCTCCATGCCTGACATGCAGAAGGAATCTGATGCAGTGCTCATGAGGGCCACTGCACAAGAGCTGAAGACGCTGATTCCTGACCCAGCGAAGGGCGCGATGGCAGTTGACATCATTCGCTGGGCCATGAATCAGGCCGTCTCCGACGACGCTAAACAGAGGAAGAAGTGATCCAAGTACAAGAACTACCGGGCTCCTAATGACCGTCGTGCCACAGTGTACTGGGAGACGGCAATCGTGCCGCCGATGGTCATTGGTGGGGAGCCTAAGGAGGAGGAAGAACCGGTGCAGATGCCAGCGAGGGCGCCGGAGCCAGGCCGTCGTACCTAGCAGATTGACCTCGACTCCACCGAGGATGATGACGACGACCTGCCGCCCCGCACGGCGATGAACAAGAAGATGAAGGCCAGCCACTTGACCCGCTGCTCTGCATGCCCGTGACGGCTGCCACGGTTAGCCGGTGTCCGTCGTGTACCCCCAATCCCCCTTCTACTGCATCCACATCTACCTCTATTCCGATCTTGCATGAACTAGTATGAAGTAGTATGAACTAGTATGAAGTACCTCTACATGCTTATCTACCTCTATTCCCTATTTCCCTCTCCGCTGTGGATCGAATCTATCGCCAGATCGAACGGGAAAAAGTAGTGCATGACGAACAGAGAGAAGTGCTCACTGCCATTGCCGCGGGCCAAGTGATGATCCGCTCGCCGGTGATGGAGTCTGGTGGTCTTCTTGCTCTCCTCCGATCCGCTGCCGCTGGTGAGAGTTGGGAGAGTGGGGAAGAGTGGGGAGAGGGAGCGTTGAGGCTAATAACTGTCGGTGCTTCGGGAAGCAATGCGGCTTCTCGAGCGTGGCCGCGCGCGTGCAGCCGCCGCCGCCCACGTGCACCGCTCGGGCCTAGCCCTGGAGAAACTACCGAGTCAAGCGTTTCCAGAGAGCCAGGCCCAGGAGTGCTTTAAGGTTCGTGCCATGCGGGCCGAACATTAAAAGTAGGCAACCAATCAGTCCGTTTGTGTCCCGCGCGAGCCAGGTCGGGCCTCTTGTAGGCAATCAAACACGCCCTTGATGAATCTCATTCAGGATGATATCAAAATGCTCAACGAGGCCTTCCGTCCTTCCATCCAGGTGGCTGGGTAGAAACATGGTTTAGGACGGTGTCTAGATTGCATCTATAGCTCTCTGTATGAGAGCAAGTGTTTTCCTGTGTTTTTGGCTTTTTTGGGCAGTTTTCCACCTCTACTTGTACCATGTACCTCTTTCTCATCTATAATGCAAAGGCGGAGCTTCTGTTGTTCTCGTCAAAAAAAGAGATGCTGCAAGCATGATAATTTTGAAAAAGGTCCGCTAAAGATCTGATTATGCATGTTAAAACTTAGGCATGTACTCCGTCCATGCTTGAAAAGAAGACGTATAAATGCGTGACATCCGATAGTGCCAAAATTGAGTATTGGTATGGATGACAGTTTTCCTAAATTTTAATCAAACTTTGCACCGTTCGACTTAGACATAATTTGTACTCCTTTTTTTACTTGACTTCTACACTCCTTGTTTTTCAAGTACGAAGATACTCCCTCCGTTCCTAAATATAAGTCTTTTTAGAGATTTCAATACAAACTACATATGGATGTATGTAGACATATTTTAGAGTGTAGATTCACTCATTTTGCTTCGTATGTAGTCTCTTGTTGGAATCTCTTAAAAGACTTATATTTAAGAACTGAGGGAGTATATACATAGAAAGAGAAGCACTTACTCTTTGGGTTCCCTAAATTAAAAAAAGAGGGTTTTGCTAAATATCAGGTACTTGAAAATATTCGCGGTGTCAAGTCACTTTTCTGTCGTCCTAAGCACGAGATGGGGGAGGCTGACCTCGCCGAGGAAGCAACCACCACAATATCTATCTTAGGGTGTGGGGAGCAGGTTCGTCGGGAAGCACAACCTCGTTACCTAGAATCATCAGAGTTGTTCACCAGTTGTAACAACCTGGATTTTCACTACCTGAAAATTCTTTTTTGCAAGTTGTGTCTTCTGCCTTTTTCTTCTGGTGTTCTTGAATTTTCTTGAAACTTGGTGTATACTTGGTGATGATTGACTTGCCTGGTTGCTCAAGCCTTGTTAAGCTACCTAAGTTACCTTGACCCTGGGATAAATTTGTTTTAAGTTTGGATCACTAAACCCTAAACCCATTTACTTAAATTAAAACCTAGAGACCATCTTTGCACTGGGGACCCTTTTTCCTTTGACACTTTGGCCTTACCAAATTTTCCAGAAACCCTCCTATACCTAGAAACTCTATTTCCATTCAACACCAAGACTTATAAATCAAATTTTGACTAGAGCATCCTTCTTAAGTTTCTGGCAAATCTGTTAACCTATGAAGCAAGTGCATTGTGCCTTTGTCCTGTGAAGCCGAAACTTTGCATAGATCATAACCTAGCCACATAAAGCCTTGTTGGGGAACGTTGCAGAAAATTAAAATTTTTCCTACGGTTTCACCAAGATCCATCTATGAGTTCATCTAAGCAACGAGTCATGGGAGAGAGATTGCATCTACATACCACTTGTAGATCGCGTGTGGAAGCGTTCAAGAGAACGGTGATGATGGAGTCGTACTCGCTGTGATTCAAATCACCGATGACCAAGTGCCGAACGGACAGCACCTCCGCGTTCAACACACGTACGGAG